CAACGGTACAGAATGCCATCTGAGATTAATTATAAATTGAGCAATGGTATTCCTGCTTTCTGATTTTAATCCTCTGCCCGCGAAATCCTTAAAAAGCTTTCCTCGCGCCTTTGGGAATTATGTGAGGAACGATATTGATTGGCAATTTTGTTTGATTCGACGATATACACAAATACTTGCATTCCTGTCTTTCAATTAGATTTTCAGAACACGCTTAGGGTTTATCTTCGATTAACTTTGAAATCTTTAAAAACCTGTTTTAACGACCACCCAATAATGGTCAGTGTGCACATTCTGACTTCCTTCTTACAAAACTTTCCTGAAATATGAAAAATAATCTTAAAAACAGAGGAACTATGAACGCAAAGAAATTCCATCGACATATTTTCTAGTTGCGATTGACAATAGTTAGAATGTCTGCCGACAGGGATCTTAAGATTTTTTTGCTGTTTCTGGATACGGAAATAGGTACACTTCCATTACAGAAAACCTTGCGATAAATGACTGGAGAGGTATATATTTTCGTATGCGTGGGCTGTATGTTACTTTAACTAACTTAACCGTCATATTCTGGAAGTTACAATAGGGCTACATGCATGAGATGTGGTTCCTTTTCCCATGCCATACTTGTTTTCTTAAAATAGTTTTGTGCTCTGTGGGACTGGAACAGATAACTTACATACTGCATGTGGTTTGGTTTCTTCTTCCAGGCCCTACTTGTTTTGTTTAGAAAATGTTTACCCTCATTATAATTTGGTAGATGTCTTACGTACTGTAAAGGTCATCGTTTACAAGAAAAGTTACATATGAGAAGGCAGCCAACTCGGAAGGTTTTTAACATTTTAACTTCAGAGAGTGCCAGAAAAATAAACAAGTTCAGAACTGAATGCCAATCAGTTTTGTTCCTCGTACTTACAAACCCACGCCCATTTTGAATTGATGTCAGCAGCACACATAATATATCCATGTTCATCGGCAAAAATAGCAATACGCTGTTCAGTAGGCGATACTGCCTTACTCGGCCAATGAAAAGTAACTTGTTTCGGGATCTATTTAAAATCACTTGCTATAAACAACCTTATCCGTTTTATACGGAACTGCTGTACGTAGAAATGTACTGGGCACTTTATAGCGTCAAATTTCATCATTTTAGTCATGCAAAGGACTATTTTACTACATCTTCATAAACTGTGCGAATTTACTAATAGCTTTGGTCTAATGCAATCAACCGGACTTCATTATTAAGTAGGTATTATCATTACTGCATGCATATATCTTTATGTGTGTGTTTCAGACAACAAAAACGTATGTTCGCCAATTTATCTTCTGACATTTTCAATAGGAATTTTCGCAAAGTTAAAATACATTTTTGTTTGATAGTTGATTGAATAATAACGCCAGCACTGCAAGCGCTTAAATGTGGCATTAAAAGGTAACTTCATTTAAATGAATGAACTTGCACTTTACTTTGTAGTTTGAACTGCATGATCCAGAACAATAGCATTAGAAGCTTGGTACAATCTAGGGATTTCGGTGTAAAAGATATTTTGTGTTTACGATAAATGAGAGGGTAATTTTGATCAAACAGTCAAAAAGGGATCAAAGGAAAGGAATTATATGAAAATTGAGGTATCAAAATTTCTGAATGTGCTACCTAGTATGCATCTATTTTTAGACATCATAAGATTATGTAATTGTGGCATGAATACAGAGAAAATGTTATCCATCATTTAAGGCAACTACAGAAGACAAAAATCCCTTTGAAAATCGTGAACAATGAAAACGAAAAAGCAGACAATATCTGAAACATAGAAAGCGTTTGGTGTATTGGGCAATTATTAGTAATCACTTGCTCAAAATACTGGATTGTACATTAAAGAATAAAATCATGCGGCTGGAAGAGGAGAATATGAGAATAAGTGGCTTATGCAGTTGCTATTTCTGAAAAAAACCACTGCGTGCATTTTTTACGACATTAAGTATTTGCGTTGGGTCAATACTCACAAGCATTGAGAACCTGTCAGGGCTTTGATTTTAAGCAAAGGCATTGGGCATTCCTAAACTTTTCGTTAGCCAGTTGCAATTAACTGCTTAAATCTGGCGTGTCATATCACTTAATGTCCGATTTTTATTTGTGTTTGTTTACCGGAGAAAACGGTAGTCGCACTTAAGTGTCTTCACTTCGATTTCCTAGAAATATTCAGTATTACAAACTTTCAGCTAAGAAAGTGATATAATGATTATAGAAGAACGGCATGACAAAGCTAA